TTTCCTTCAGGCGGATCTACAGTCAACTCTGGGCGACACTGGCTATATCGTCTTCGGAGTGATTCTGTTCGTTTGGGAGCTGCTCCCCACCTCTCTTGTGGTTTTCTTCTTCAGAGTTCGGAAGCCGAACCTAGACAGAGTGAGCCAGCAGTTAGTCTGAGCCGGCGGTTCCCAACCTGGAGGTCAGGAGCCCTCCACAGAAAATGATTTATTTAAAAAAAGAAAATAAAGCAAACTGTAGTTCAGCTATACTAAAGTGTCAGTTTTTTTGTTTTTCTTGCAAAAAATAAAATAAAAATGGACACTTTGGTTGCTTCAGGGGTATAGAATTCAGTGACATTGAACAAATTAAAGGGAAAATCTCTTTTTGATGGAAGTACTTACAAATAATAGACTGTGCAGCATCTGGAGAGGATTTTGGTTTATTCTAAGAGCTCACAAGGCAAACAGGTTGGGAAGCACTGCCTCAAATAGTGTGTAATGCAGTCATGTGAGAAATGACCATGATATCTTACATTTCCTGTGTTGTCTTTGCCTGGTCCTTACAGAGCACGTCTGGCCTCCCCGGTCACGTCTTCTCCTCTCGGGCTTATTTCTTCGACAACCCGCGGCGTTACGACAGCGATGATGATCTGGCGTGGAGCGTCATGCCTCAGAACATCCAAGCCAGGTAAAAAAAAACAAAAAACACCACCGCTTCTTCCCTAGAAAACCGATTTGTACATGAAGCAGGAATGTGTCCAAACGCAGAGAGGCAGTTAAATTGATGTGTTTATTGATTTTCCAGCCTGGCCGCTGACAGTTACGAGTGGGGGAGCCAAAGCAGTGGCATCGGCGCCTACATCGGGGGGGACGACACTTACAACCTCCCTCCTCCTCCAGAAGAGCTGAGCCATTACTGACCGGAGCTCATCGGCGATTCCTGCTGACCTGTGGCTTCGTTTTTCCTTTTGTATATTTTTGCACAGTCTCTGTTCCTGACCGAGGCACGTGGGGACGAGAGTCGCCCTCGACTTCATACATTCGGTTTTCTATTTTGCGTAGAGAAGAACTAACAGACTTTGGTCAGTATATACAGACCCAGCGATGGGACATTAATTTTGCACACTCCTTGTACAAAGTATGATCTGCTCTTAAACGTTTTTCATTGTATAGTTTATATTGAATACGGCTTAATATATTTCCTGACCTTTGTAATATGTACTGTAATACTATTTTATGTACTGTCAATGAACACATGCTCTTTTTCATACAGATTGGTTTATATAGAGGAGAGATTCATTTAATTCATATTAAAAAAAAAAGTTTAAATGTTTTAAAAATGCTGCTCATTTTTTAATATTGCATCAACTCTTAAAGGAAACATTTACAGTGGGTCGCCTCTGTTTTAGAGACATTTCTAAATGGCTTTCTAACCGCCTAAATGACATATTTTTACACAACAAATACAGTTTTCGATTTGCATTTGTGACATTTTCTATACAGTCAAGTGGAAAGTGTCTTTTTTGACATATGTGGACAAGCAAACATTTAATCCTCTTTGACACGGATTAAGGTGAAATACTTGAACAACACAAGGAGAATCATCATTTTTTCAATAAAAATATAAACAAATGTAATATTTGTCTGTTGAACAACAAAGTGCACTCTGGCTTCTGAAGGTATTATTGTCCCATTTAACAGAAATAACTTCTTGTAAGGGTTTTGCATATTTATCCATTAGTCTCTGGCAAAAATCACTTTATTTGCAAGATGTTCAAGGTTGTTTTTGTTTTTGTTTTTTGGCATGTAGTGCGTGTTTAACCTGCTAAGACCCAAGCTCGTTTGATATGCATTTTTTATTCTCTTTGTTATTTGATCAGATCAGATCAAATAGCAAAGAGAATAAAAAAAATTAAAAATATTTCAAAAAATTAAAAATATCCATCCATCCATCCATCCATCCATCCATCCATCCATCCATCCATCATCTATACACCGCTTAATCCTCACTAGGGTCGCAGGTGACTGGAGTCTATCCCAGCTGACTTAGGGTGAAGGCAGGGGACACCCTGGACAGGTCGTCAGTCCATTGCAGGGCTACACTTAGAGACAGACAACCAAGCACACTCACATTCACACCTAAAGACAATTTAGAATCACCAATTAGCCTCAATAGGTTTTTTGGACCATGTGGGAGGAAGCCGGAGAACCCAGAGAGAACCCACGCTGCACGAGGAGAACATGCAAACTTCACGCAGAAAGATCCCGGGTGTCCTCACCGGGACACAAACCGGTGACTTTCTTGCTGCAAGGCAGCAATGCTAACCACTGTTCCACCTTGCAGCCCAAAATAAAAATATATTTTAAAAATATATTTAAAATATTTCCCAAAAATACAAATATGTAAATCAATAACAATAACAAAATAATAATAATACAATTAACTACTGTGGTAATATATTCCAAATTGGGATGTCAACACATGTGGGCTCCAGGTCTTAAGAAGTTAAAATCTCCCCACAACATTTCAATGGGCTTTTATTATTATTAATTTTATTGACTAGCTCATTCCATAACCTTCCATTTCCTATTTTAGAGCAATTCCTTTGTGTGTTTAAGATTATCATCCTGTTCTAAGGCTCACCCCTGGTTCAACTTCAACTTTCAAGACTGAAGGCCTCACACACACTTCAATCACAGTTTGTTATGATGCAGAATTCACAGTTAAATCCGTGACTGCAAGCTGCCCACTCCCTCAGGCAGCAAAACAACTCTAAACCCATCGACTCCAACTTCACCATAATGTTTCACAGTCAGTAAGAAGGTCATCTTTCGTCCACACTGAACAAGTCTGTTGGCATTGAGGCCAAACAGCTCCATCTTTGATTTGTCGGTTCAGAGTACATTCTTCTAAAAGGCCTTTCAAATGTCTTCACCTCTATGTTCACTGGCAAACTATGGTTTTGCTCTAATGTTCTCTTTGAACAACAAAAGCGTTTTCCTGACAAACCTCCCATGCAGATCAAACACGTGTCATCTCTTTCTAGTAGTAGATGCAAAAAGTTTGACACCAACAGTTGCAACATTTACATGCAGTTTCTAGCATAAAATTATGGGGTCCTTTAGGATCTTATTCTTTCTGCAGTTCTGGACAAAAAGGTGACTGAGTGTTACACTACTTGTAGAGGAGTCCCTTCACAATAGAATCCTTTATTTAAAACCATTTGAGATTTTTTTTTAAAAATCCCTTGATAGACTCATTTTTGAAGACTGTTGAGAGCTCATTAGATCTAGTCATGATGACACCACACACATTAAAAGCAAAGAGAGCAGCAGACCCTGGAGGTTAAAGTGTTTAAATAAGACAGGCTGCAGCTGTCGCTCCCTCAGGAGGTTTGATTATTGGCACTAAATCTGGAACTCCTCATTCTAATTTGATGGATTTGCTGGTGTGATAAATGTACTTACTTTTTCCATGTGACTGATCTGGTTTTCTTTTTTCTTGTTCATTTTTTTGGTTATTTAAATGATAAAAATGACTACAAAATGTAAATTTCTTGTATTTGTTTGAAGATATCACCTTCAAATTGGAGCAAGTTTTTGCTTTTTCAAACATGTAAAAAATGTATGTATGTAATTTTGCATTTTTAATACACAGACTACCTTACATTTTCCCATTATACCCTGATCATAACTGAGCACCTCTGAACACGAGGTGAACTTACCAGAGGTGAAAAATCCCCGTTTCCACTCCAGCAGGGAGCTGAATTGTCTTACTTGCCTCACTTTAGCTAGTCAAGCAGCAAAATAGTCAAAAAAAATTGTTATAGCTGCAATAGAGGACAACTGAAACTTGGTTCAGAGTTGGACATTAAAAGCTCAAAAATGAGTTTCGTCAGAGTGGCAGAACAAAAATGCCAGCAGGCTGGATGTTTTTTTCTTATTTAAAAAAAAAACAAAAAAAAGATGCCTGCATTCTAAAGGAACTTAATACATAACATAACATTGAAAGTTAGCATTTACAAAATATGAACATTTTTAAAAAGACAGAATTTTAGAAATTGTCATGGAAATGGTACATACTGGTTTTAAAATGGCATGGACTGATAAATTATTTGTTATCTAATGCATTTGTCATCTAAACCATACATACAAAGCCATTTGATGAATCATAGGCTGAAAACAAAGAGAACGGAACGTTAAATAGCCTCAGGAAATCAATTTGTAAAGCCATTGACGCAGTAATTTACTGGCTGATAAATGTCATTTAGCACTTGATCAATATGTCCATCCATCTGCTTAATCCTCACTAGGGTTGTGGGGGGGCTGGAGTCTATCCCAGCCGACTTCAGGCGAAGGCAGGGGACACCCTGGACAGGTCGCCAATCTATCACAGGGCCACACTTAGACAGACAACCAAGCACACTACGGACAATTTAGAATCACCAATTAACCTCAACATGTTTTTGGACTTGCGGGAGGAAGCCAGAGAACCCACGCTGCACAGGGAGAACATGCAAACTCCATGCAGAAAGATCCCAGTGGCCCCACCAGGACGCGAACCAGCGACCTTCTTGCTGCGAGGCAACAGTGCTAACCAACTGCGCCACCTTGCAGCCCTGATCAATATGTTAGATGCTTAAATAGTTACTGAAGCAGTAAGTGTACGGTATTTTATAATATTTTTAGTTGTTTTAGGAATAATTATCCCTACAATGATCACTGCAGATTATGTTGTAAAATAAAGCAGAAAAATGTGAAGAATCTCATTATGCACAGACCCAAAAATAAAAATGTGCCTGAAGTTTCCTGCAGAGGGCAGCATTGACCTCTGTACTGCATAAGGCTCAAACAGCCCAGTAGGTAAGAAGATCCATAAGCTCTGTATCCTAGTGTCATACTGAGATGTATGTTTCATGGTGACTAAGTGGTTCGTATATTTCTCAGTGAGAAGGAAAAAGGCCACAAAAGCCTCAGGAGCCTTGAAAAAGAATAAATTCAAACTCAGACCAACAAAGTTCTGTCAGAAAAGTGTGTTTTGTTTTGTTTTTTTAATTCAGATCATTCCTCAAATTATTGCAAACTCAAGCACATACAGTAGCTTATTATAACAGCCGATTCCATGTGAAAAGCATAACACATGACGCATATGCAGAACACTGTACCTTTAAGGAATTAACTGCAACAAAACAATATACAAAAGATGAAGATTTTCGCTGAGCTTAATTCCTGTTTGAAACGATTTTTTTCTGAAGATGTCAGCTGTAATGTAAGCATTCTTCACCGACGAGGTGAAAGGAGAAACACACATACAATCCCTTTCAGTACAATGTTATGACATTCAAGGTCCGCTGGGTTGCCCAGGTTGGCTGAAAATGAACAGAATCACTGTGTATTTGTTTCGTTTTTGTCTCCATTATCATGGATCTTCCACCCACTCAAGCAAAAAGTCTGCTGTTTTGCCATGTAAAACACACACACATGCTCTCTTTAGGCCACTTTCTTAGGACAGAGCACTTAATGGCTGTTTGTAGGGGGGCGCGGGCATCCCATTAGCTGGGATCCGGTGATTTGTCGAGTTCAACTTTTACACCTTTTTCTCCTGCACCTGCACGTAAAGGAAACACATGAGAGATGATGTAAAAGAAAACAAAAAGGCTTGAAACAATAGGAACAGGACTGTGTGGTTTGTACGTGAAATCTTACCTGTTAAGTATTTTTCTTTAGCTCTGGCTCGCTCGTCTGCGTCAAAATACCACACCGTGATGGCATACCTGCGAGACAGAATCAGAGACAGGAGTGATGACTCACTGCACGACAGGTCAAACAATGCGAGTGTGTGCAGTGGACAGACGTGGATGCTGACCTTGTAGCGAAAGCGGGCTGAACCTCGTGAGGGTTCCGTCTGTCTGACCAAAACAGCAGCAGACGGTCAAATTTTGGCTCTATGTCGGCAAACTGGGCCTTTCCTTCTGGGAAGATTCGAAGAAGGCCTCCATGTTCCTGGAAGAGCAGAAAAAAAAAGAAGAAACAACCCCATTATGTACACAAATCAGGACAAAGCAATAGCAGGAAGGTAAAGCGAGAATGTAGGAAGAAAACACTCAGTGAAGCCTCAGCAGTGATCACATTTCTGGGTTTAATGTTCATCCACGTCAAAAGATAAACACGCCGGGAAAGGAGAGTCTCACAAAAGAAACACAGACTAAGTCATAAAAAGGACACTCAAAGGCTTTTTTAAATTATCAACACAGAACGACAATGTCGAAGGAAAAGGGTTGTCCAACTCCAAGGGCTAGGAGGAAAGCTCAGGATAGGAAGCAGCAGCGGGGGACGGCTTTCCTGTGGAGGGATAGGAAGAATAACCCACAGGAAAACTGCTCTGGCTGGATAAAGGACCTGGAGAGTGAAAAAGCAGATTGCTGCAAGCGTGCCGCTTAAACTCTCACACAGCTGATATGATAGGCCCCTCTCTTCACACGCAAAGTACCAGAGCAAGAAGGTTCACACCCTTTGTCCGACAAGTAATGCTATTCTCATTTAAATTACACTCAATGAGGGGGAATGCCGGTGCTGTGTCTAAATTAAAAAGAGCACAATGGGGTCAAAGAAGACAGGAGAAATGTGTTTTTTTTTCTTCTTCTGCAACACGTAACCAGCTAAAGACCACTGATTTTTTAACAACTGTTTAACTGCATGTATAGCAGAGTCCACTGTGCAAATGAAGCAAGATTACCCAACAGGTCATGACCTCTCTATCTACATGGAGCTGAACAGGACTGATGTTGGATGTCAGCACGTACAACCTGTAGATGTGATAACCAGCAAAGACTAGCCTGGCTCTAGACTCTTAGTGTTGTTTAATGTTAAAAACACACACACACACAAACACACACACACACATACACAAAATGTATCATCCTGAACCACATAATGTGTGTTTCCATGCAGTGCAGTCACCAGACAGGAAACTAAGAATTTAACTGCACGAGATGCCAAGAACATGACAGCATTTGATATTTTACAACAGGTTTGCTATTCTCTGGATGATAATTAACACTGATAATTATTAATTACTTCATCCATAAAATGTCATAAACTAGAAAAACTAATCTTGATATATTTTTCAAAAATCCAAGGCAGATGTTTCAAATTTTTGCTGGAGAAGTTGACTGAAACGACTGATCCATTATCAAAAAGGTGCCAATTTATTTTCTACTGATGTACTTATGAGTCGGTACTGGTCTACGACAGATATACTGATATCGGCATGTGCATCTAACTTTTTTTGTGTATTTTGAAGAATATAATACAGGAAAAAATCCTTGGATTCAATTAGAAATGGTGTCCCCTCACAGCTTATCCAGCATAGTGGCTCTGACTCAGTTATTGGCTATACTCTCAGAACTGTTGGTGTACTCTGCTACATGCACTGCAAACAGTGTTGTGGAGTCAAGTGGTATCTTCATGGTAAGTTGATAACTATTGTGTGAAAAATACAACTTTAACATACGGCCTATATATACACGAATAAGCCAAAACAATAAAACCACTGACTGATCAAGTGAATGACATTAATAGTTTAACAGAAAACCAATATTCTGCTGAGAAACCTTGGGTCCTGGCTTTCCATGTGACAAGTATGACAATGCACCCCATTTAACCAACATCCCCCCCGATTGCAACTGAAATGCAACTATATGTATTTTAGACCCTATTACACCTGCCCACACAAAGCTGTAAAAGTTGTACTCTGGCGGGCACTGTCATTTGAAAATGACAAAAATGACTCCCACCCTTTGATACATATAATAGATGTTTATATGTTTGTATTCGTAGTCTGTCACAGTGGTAGCCTCCCACCAATGGAAGAGTAAATGTTATGAAACACTGAGATCATTAATGCAAGATTTTTTTTTCCACGAGTGGGTGGTGGAAACAGTGGTCAGAACAAATTTTTTTTTTGACACCCTGTCCGAGTTAACCAAATAAAATCTTGCCAAACCTGACACCCCCATGACTGCCGAGAGCGCTTTTCTCCCAAAGGAAGTCACATGGTGTGCCGACAGATACCAGTATGAATGTTTATCACTCATAACAAAGTTCACTGTAAATCAGGGCTCATACTGCCAGAACTCCAGTTCAGATTTATTCTTACATGGAGCAGGAGCTGGAGGCGAACACTGCAGTCTGCAAACAATAGCAATAATAAGTAGAGATGGCAGGATGCTGTGTGCATATGTCTCTGTGTCTATCTAGATTGGTGACCTGTCCTTGTCGCTCACCCACTGCATGCTGGGAAAGGCTCTCGCCCCCTGCAACCCTGAACAAGACACGCACTTTAAAAACAGACGGATGGTTATGTTGGACTTCACACTAACATACAGTATTTTAGTACACTTTTTGAACTGTGTGAATAATAGCAGAAATCACATGTTCACTATCTTGTGATCTACATTTATTTGCATTCATTATTTGAATCCTATTCTATTCTATTGTATTTAAATTCAGTTAAAAATTTGTTCACTATGTCTTCTGTTCCACCCGACTGCTGTGTGTCTTCTACTTCTGTCACATTCAAGCTGTGACTAGAAATGAATAATTGACGAATGAGAATATAATAAATACTTAAAGTCCCTCTGGCTGTTGATTTAATCCCCTAAAACTAATCTTTGTGTATCAGAGTGGCATATTTATAAGTTTCTGCCATGAAAATAATCTCTTCCTGCCTTAAGATGGCTTAGATGTAACTCTACACCGCTGCTTTCTCTCAGAGAGCAGCTCTATGAAGCCTCTCTCCACACCCGCTCTTCACTGCAGCTCGAGCACACCAGCTCGCCCATGATTCTGCTCAAACACTATAAAACTACTCTACGCTACACAATGGCAAGTTGTAAAATTTGAGTAATTCAGCCATACATGTTGAAACCACAAACGGATCCTGATGAATAACAGTGATACAGAAAGCCCCACCCTGCAAGTTCACAGAATTGCTTCCTTCGGTTTGTTAGGTGTGAAACTCCTGAGATCTGAATACGCGGTTTTCAGAACGTCGTCGGTACGCTGCAGTTTCAACATGGAAATGCTCAGTCATAATGCTGACTGCTTATTTCCCTCATGAGGCGTCTTCCAGCATATGAAAAACACCATATGGACATGTTAGTGTGGTAAAAAAAAAATTTTTTTTTAAACTGGAGGGGGTCATTAAGCATCTCAGACCTTTGTGATTATCACACATTAATATTTGACAGTACTTTGCAGAGTTATACACAATAGAAAAAAAGAACCATCTGTGTAATCTCAGTTGAAACATAAAGCATTCATTTTAGATTTATGTTACAATTAGCTTGACGCCTCCATCTGTATAAAAGTGAAACGGCTGAAGAAAAATAACATAAATAACTGGAGCAATTACAAGCAATGTCATTCTCTCATGAAGCCCCTATATCCAATCTACCCTATTCACAACCACCTAAACAGTCAATCAGAAACCACACGGTAATTACTCTCACGCTCATTTGAATAACTGAAACCTGCGCACGAACAGAACAACAGAAATGATGCAGCAGTGTAGCTGATTAACATCACAGCAATGTGATCCACCTCATAACTGATGCAGGTATTAACAGGAAAAGACTTTTCTCTTGACTTGAACAAGCAAAAGAAATACAGACAGTAGAGAATATAATGCAGAACACTGCTATGAAACAAGTGAGCACCTGTTGGTTATAAAAAAGGTGTGATGTGGTAACAAGAGTCTGACATGCTTGTCTTTCTTTCCTCTGAAACACAATGTGCTCCAAGCAGGTAAAATCTTTTTTGTTCACTTAACAGGCACGCTAGTCAAGACAGAAGCACTCACCAGTTATAGACTATGATAGTTGAAAATCATAACCAATTAAAAACAAACGGCTTCAACAAAGAGGAACGGTAGCAATGTGCTGAAAGCAGCCGACCAAGACATGATGGACATGCAGTTCCTACGCGGATGGTAAAATAATCCATTTTGTTTTTATTAATTTGTCTCCCCTCACATAGCAGAAGAGATGCCCATAATATCTGTGCTTTTAGCTTGCCTTACTGTTTGTTCAATGACAGCGAATGATAGTTGTACTTTGTTAAGTAGAAATCACAACAAGATGACAGACACATTCTGTGCATTCTACCACAAACTAGTATCTAAAGGCATAACAGAGTTTCCTGCAATTATGTCATTTTCATATGCTAGTCTGGAGGTCAAGCATGCACGGAAGTCTGGAAGACAACCTCTTGCGTACTAATGTGTCTTGTCACCCACTTGCTGCTTTCTGTTATGAAGACTGTTGTTGCTTCCTGGTTTGTAGCATCCTGTTTATTTACTTAGGAGGTGAGCTCAAAGCACATTACAGTGCAGCCTGCGCTTTGGAGAAAAGGTCAAGCCTGGTAGATATCATGGGTCAAAAAATTCTTGGTAAAACAAATTAGTTTATATGTGCTCTCACACTTCTATTAACTTACTGTGGCAGCAGGAACTAAAGTTATAGGTTGTTATGGCAACTCTGGAGCACCCAGAGCATCAGTAGAGGATATAAGATGTATTCAGGAGCCTATCCCAGCTGACTCAGGGTGAAGGCAGGGGACACCCGACAGGTCACCAGTCTATCACAGGGCTACACTTAGAGACAGACAACCAAGCACACTCACATTCACACCTACAGACAATTTAGAATTGCCAATTAACCTCAACATGTTTTTGGACCTTGTGGGAGGAGCGAGAGAACCCAGAGAGAACCAACGCTGTATTGGCAAAACATGCAAACTCCACGTAGAAAGATCCGGGTGTCCTCACCGGGACGCGAACTGGCAGCCATGTTGCTGCGAGGCAACAGTGCTAACCACTGTTCCACCTTGCAGCCAATTCAGTCATTCAGGTGCCCTCAAATACTGAATTTAGCCCTTCACATTGAAATTATTAGGTTAATTTATTGCATTCAACACTCTTTCTTACACTGCTGAGTTGCTACAGTGGGTTAGGGCTGCTATCATCATCATAAACAACATACGTTTGGTCTTACTTTCATTCATAATAACTTGAATTTCTTTTGGAGTGAAACTTACTAAATATGCCAACAGACCGTCCTTTTAATTAATTTCTATTATGTTGAAGTTTAACTCTACAATTTTGCACTTTAATATGTAAACCTCTGTTTACATTTCATACTGTGCTGTATTATACAATTTATTATACAAAGTTTGTCCAAATCAAAAACCTAAATGAAACAGTCATTTTGCTTTTGTGGAAGTCAACTACCAGTTTAAATCAAATGATTAATGAGTACAATTGATTTATCAGTAGAAAAAAATAGCAGTTAGTGGCAGCCTGACAATGGGTCCAGCTCTGACCGCTCTCCAGTGAGCTGCACATATTGTATATCGTGCCGACTATTGCAGTGCTAAAGAAACAGTGGAAGCTGTCACGCTATGGTTGTCAGACAATAGCTCAATGAGTGCTTGGCTTTAGGGCAGTTTTGTTCTGAATTTGGACCACAGATACTTCCTGCAGCTGTACGCTTCTGCCAGCCAGTCAGGTTGCAGTTTATGTCTATGTCTGTCCAGACTCATGTAGTATAAGCAGGGAAGGCTGAGTATGTTTAAGCGTAAGGAGCGTGGACGTTCATTGAGAGATAGCTACAAATTCTAAAATGGAGATGCTTCCCAAACACATCTTTAACCCTGCCGCACAGAAGATCTATACAATCACAGCAGTTTGAAGGTGGGCACCCACGGTTAGTGTCACCAGCTCAGTATCTGACCAAATGTGAAACATGGTCACAATCTGTTATGATGTTGAATATGGCCAGGAAAGTGTTTCTTCAGAACATGCTGTCACAGTGTAGTCGACCTTTTAGATATAAAATGTCATTGCTTCATCATTTTATTCCTATTAGACATCTGTGGGAAATTGTGTCATAATTAGCATATGAATTCTTAAGATATGACTAAAAGCGTGTTTTGTAAGTTCACACTGACCTTTAACCAACACGTTCTTATCAGGTTGTTGTTTAGTCCATGTGAACGTTTGGACCAAACTTGAAGAAATTCCCCAAAGGTCTTCTTTAGGTTATCAAACAAAATGGGACTGACGGACGGACGGACAATCCCGAAAAATAATGCCTCCGGCTCTGGCTGTTGCCGGCATTCAGACATAACAAAGCTGTGATATCTCTGACATCCTGTGTGACTCCATGTATTAAATTACTCTACAAAGAAAATCGTATGATGTTATCTTTTATTATTTTGCACGCAGGTTCAAATATTTGAGATGTATATGAAAATCTCTGCAGCAAAACTGTTAAAATCTGCACATTCTCGATCGGACTACAAACGCACTTTCCTGCAGAAAGAACAGCAGATACGTGGACATGGGGGCGCTACTCACCCTGACTGGGTGTGGCTGGATTAGCAGGATTTCTGTATTTTAATGGGATTGTGAACAGTGACAGTGGCCACGCAGCATGTACTGACAGGTAACCACTACTACGTAGTTTGCACAGGTGTTGAATATGGAATAAAGTGGGATGAAGGGTGAAAATCCTGTTAGAGACAAGAACTGAGCTGACTTGTCATATGCTCGTGACAAGGGGTCAGACTGTAATATAAAGAACTGACACAATGCCATTCTGCAAATTACTTTGATGGTTATTTCACTGATAATTTGAAATCATTATTACATCAATGTTTATGACAAATAAAAAAGGTATTTCCTCCACACATTACTCCCATACCTTGGCATTCCAATCTTTATTAAGGTAATATATGCATGTGACACACCGTCCATCGCCGTTGGGGTTGTCCACATGGCGCACGTAGCCTGTCCCGTTTCCGGGGTAACATGCCACCATTGCCTGAAGAGAGGAAGATGAGAAAGTGTGATAAGCACAAAAACAGCTATGCAGTGAGAAAACCACAAATGCAACATCTAGATTTCATACGTGTCATCAAAACTCAGATGTGCTGCATTAAAAGAAAGGAGGTAAAACTGCGTGAGTCTGTGCAAATCCAAACACCGATAAAGATCCAATCAGGCAGAACCAGAGCTGTGGAAGCAGCTCAGATTGCATCGGTTGGCACGGCACGTGACATGGATGCAGCAGACGGTCTTGGCACAGGCGGATTGTATTGTTGCCTCACCTGCACCGAGACTGACAGTAACAGCGGCTGCCTCACAACCCAGCTGCCTCATTATAAACTTAAACTAGCGAGAAAATAAACCGGAGATATCGCGCTGCACGTCAACTTCCTCCTGCCTTTTCCTGCTCTATTAAGACTTGCATGATCTGCTTGGGTGTTGGCAGTGAACCCCTATGAGCTCTTGTAAACTTCTTGGTGTAAACAGCGAGCGAACGCACTCTTACAGTGCAGAATGCCCCTCAGGAATAAGACGCACACAAGCGGTGACTCGAACGCTGCCGGGAGTGACTGTGACAGAGAAATGCTTCGGTATTTTCTTCAGAAACAAGAAGTCCCTGCAAGAAACGATGCAGAGCAAATAAAATTCATCTGACTCCATCATCAAAATCCTGCAATCTTACACTGGAAAAGACAACAAACACTTGGACGACATACAACTGTGTGTGCTTTCTGACTTGAAAGTGGAGCTGAGATGAGAGGAAAAACGTGCACAAACACAGAGGGCAGATTCAGCCCTCATACGAAGCAGTGTCTAAGCAGTGATATGACAGACAAAAGGCAAGTTCATCCACATTCTTTCATGAACTTGCATCAACATAAACCATAGCAACATTATTATAAAAACTCAAACTCCATCACTTTGGTCCCATAACTAGTAAAAAGTCAGACTATGTTTCCGAACTTTGAAACGCTACATTTATCCTGCCTGCAGAGCAATGATAGGACATGCTACATTTCAAAATATTTGGATTTCCAGAGGTGGAGCACAATATACTCTTGTCCTGCACGTACTTTGGAAGTGGGTCGTTTTATTGCACTACATAATAATTGCACCACAAAATCTTTACATGCGTGCAAAACCTTTCCAATCTTGCAACTCCCAGAGAGAGCAATAAAAACAACAAAATACAGCTTTGACATCACGCTCGTACGTCTGCACCCGATTTTCCTGCGCATCTGACAGTAGTTGCCTACGTCAGTGCACATTGTGCTCACAGTCTGAATGATGCAGGCTACCGCTGGAATGCACATTATCAGGGCCTTCAAAGCTGAAAAACAACAAAAACTACAGCATAAAGACGAGGGGGAGGGGGGTGGTGAGTCTCGCTCTGGTGGCGTGAACTTTATCGATTAAAGAAAAAAAAAAAACAGCTGTTGAGTGAGGGGCACGCAAACCGACAAAGGGCTTCCTGTCAGTAAGACGCAACTCGGTCAGCTTTTCGGTGTTTGTGTGGGACAGAGAACGAGGGAGAGGGGCACAGACAGAGGAAAGCAAAGGGGTGGGGCTGAAGCAGAAGAGAAGAGAGGAGTGAACTGCTGTAAACTTTGACTCCTGGCCTCCCTCCAGAGAGAGCAGTATTTTAATGGTTGTGCTACGTGCAGAGCGTGAGGAAGGTTGGCTGATCCTCGGCTATGTCACCCCTCCCAACCCTTAACTGCAGGGCTCACGCTGCAAGGCTGGAGATGGGTAAACAGCCGCTGCTCGGAACAGCGTGTTTGTGTGGATTCAGATGTGTGCAGGGGCAAGGGGTGTGTGTGTGGGGGCTGAGCGAAGGTGTGAGAGTCTGCAAAAAGTCAGACGCAGCAGTTTCACCTTTCTTTTGCCTTAACTGGACGCCTGTAGAAACTCTATAAGGCTTCATCTACTGCAAGGCGTCGGCATGCACGCAGTTATGTACCTGTGAGCGTGCCACATAAGGAAATATGCAAGTTGCAAACAAAAAGCACATATTTCAAGTTTGTATTGTATCTCAAAAATCTTAACAAAAAATAATAATAATAATAAAAAAAACACAACAGGAAAAATCAGGAAAAACACAGCAAGAAATGAAGATTTCACCCTCATGGCACATACAAGCGAGAGTGCACAGAAAGTGTCCACGGAAAATAGACTGAAATGACACTGGAATGTAGAGCAGCTAGTATCTGACAATGTCAACTTTGTATGAATTGCTGTTTAAACTCCAGTTTGCTTTTCATGTGATCTAGTCACGTGAACCCAACGAGCTGAAGTGCATAGAAGAGACACTACTATTGATAAAAACTCCTCTGTCATAGAATCACAGATGGGATGCAGCTAAAACCTTAATGAAAACACAACATACAGACACAACCTCAGTTAAAGGCTTTGTAATGAAGGAAAAAAATCATTCTATGACATGCATCAACGCTGTTTATGCTCATACATTTTAACACCTGATAGACCTTTTCACTGACTGAAACGAAATGTGGCAAAGACAGAAGTAAACACTTGATCAAACCGGGTCTAATTGAACAAGTGCCAAAAATTCTGCTTAATTCACCATCCTTTACACAGCAGGAGGATTTTTCATCTTCACCCCTGACCTTTATATCTCTTTGAGCTTCCTTTCTTGCAGCCACTTATTCTTCCGCGTTCCACTGTGGCCCTCATTAGGAGGCTGACCTTGCTCTTCATGTTGTTTGTTTACATTCCACAGACACGGCTTCAGAGGACGACTGGCATTTACAGGCAGCGAACGAGCGGCGTAGAGGTCACCGAAGTACGCTCGGAGGGGCCTTTAGCGAGGTCAAAGGAGAGGCAAACTTCATTCAATGGACGCAGTTTTAAGTCGGAAGTTTACATACACCTTAGCTAAATACGTTCATGCAGTTTTTTTTCCACATTTCCTGACATTAAATCCTCACAAACATCCCCTGACCTAGAGACGCTTGGATCACTATTTTAAGCCTGAAAAATGTCCGAATAATCGTGGAGAGAATTATTTATTTATGCTTTTACTGAATGAGAAGTTTACCTACACTTTGTTAGGATTTCACAGTATTGGCTTCAAATAGTTGAACATTGGGTCAAATGTTTCAGGAAGCCTTCCGCAAGCTTCTTAAACTAAGTTGCTGCAGTTCGGGCCCATTCCTTTGAACTGATCTGTGCACTCGCTTTATCAGTTGTGCTCCCTAATTCTCGACTGAATTGAGGTCAGGGCTTAGGGATGGCCACTGCAATACCTTTGCCACAATTTAGCATATGTAAACTTCTGACCCGGTAGAAAAGTGATATAGGGAATTGAAAGTAAAAAGACTAGTGTGTAAACAATTGTTGGAAAAATGACTTTTATGCATAAAGCAGCTTGCCAAAACTACAGTTTGTTTACATGAATATCTGTGGAGTGGTTCAGAAAAGCATTTTAATAAGAGGATATGTAAACTCCTGACGTCAACTGTACATGTTATTTGAACATGAAAACAGTTATCACCAACAGTCTGCATCAACTAGTAAGCCCCTATTATCAGGTAGTTGTCAAAAGCTGTCTGTAAAATACATGTTTGCCATAATTTACCTTTAAACAATACTTTGCATTCATTTGATTTATTTTTTTTGCCTTGATTATCACAGCTGATAAAAGACTAGAAAGCAAGAGATAGACATGAGATGCAGCAAAGGACTTGTGTTGGAATCAAACTCCAGCTGCTGCAAAATTGACTCAGTTCTACAACATTAAGGCAACTTTTGTGGGAGAAATATTTCCCACTCTTCACTGCAAGTGTTCATTTCCAGAGAGAGCTTCATATTTATTTCTGTCTCAAGATAAAGTCACTGCCTACAATGCCATTAATATTGTTGAACTTTATCAGTTTTTGTTTGCCGCAAATAGAAATGAGGGATTGATCTGTGTGCAAAAGACTGTAATCCATGCAAGTCATGCTTTTCAATTTGTCTGAGACAACTGCAACTCAAATTGTTTAACTGGATGGGCCCCAACAAGCAACAGCAAGATTAACATGATTTATGTGTCACTAGCAGCACTGATTCACTGTAAACTAACTACCACCTATGATCCTCTAAATCACGGATACTCTACTTGCTTTCCCTGGGGGACATTTTAGCAAAATAACAGGAAGCCAGGGGCCAGTTTACAAACAATAATATTTATCTGAGAAAATGAATGAAAATGAAAAGGCCTATAACCCATCTTTGAAATCATTTATTTTCAAATTAACTGAGCCAAGAGATCCTATGTTATTAAAAAAAATGTACTTTATAATCAAACAAAAATATCCAAGTGTTAACACATTTATTTTCATTGTGAATTAGAAACTGGATGGCAGGCCAGCTGGCAGCCTGGACTGCTACAGCTGGGCTGCAGCTGAATATCACTGCCAGAAATGCTGTCGTTTTTACATAGATTTCTAAATCGGTTGACAGACTGTGTTAAAGTGTGTCCACTGTATTATGAATGTGAACCAAACACAGAAGTTAAACCAAAAAGAAAAAAAAAAAAACACAACTCATATCCTATATTATAAGAAGAGTGGCTAAGAAGGCTATTGGTTCACTATATTTCAGATACAGTCATCCTCAAATGTATTCAGACCCTTCCATTAAAGAAAAGGCAAAATTCACAATAGTCACTCAAATAACTAGAAAGTGAAAAAAAGTAGTAATAAATAAACATTTCTGCTAAATTATAATTTTGTGAAATAAGACATTACTTTTGAATTATGGTTGAAAAGAATTGTTAAAATAAAAAAATAAAAAAAACTGTCCCGGACAAATTAGAGCACTTTGCTGATGAGCTGTGGGTCAAAATCAAAATACCTGTCAACAGGTGCAGAAGTCTGATTGAGAGTTACAGAAAACACTTGATGGCAGTGATTGGCTTAAAGGGTTGTGCAACAAAACATTAGTTTACGGCTCCCATCATGCTTGTCTTTTGTTGTTTTAATATTTCTGTTG